ATTATATTATAATAATGTCTTTTATTATATTATAAATTTTTATAATTATAGTATTATAAGTAGACTATTTCAGGTATTGACATGATAAAAATCGCAAACATTATGATATTTATTTTATATACATTTTATGTAAAATTTATTAGCAGTGATTAAAAAGTATATTATATATAATACTGTATACAAATAATTCGTGTAGCAAATTGTATATTAATATTAATTTTATCTAGATTATTTTCAAACTTCATAAAAATAATTAAAGAGTATTAAATATATCATAAGGAAATGTCCTTTAACCACGTTTGAACTCTACGGATAACTAGTTTTAACGTTTGTCTACGATACCTTATGAAAAATTGAATGTGCCTCACCTTACAAATTCCTTTCTGAAAAACAATTAGTCATTAATATTGTAGGAACTTTATTTTGGAATTAGGAATTCAACACACAGCACTTGTAGAATTTTTAGACATATGTAATACTTAATTGAGATATAAAGTATACTACAGAAGGTCACAGAGACACACACTCATACCACGAAGCTCTAACACAGCGACACATGGTCTCTGTTAACTTACAACGCTAGGTTGCACCGGTTACACTTACCCACAGCGGAGTCCTCTGGGGTTACCCAGAGACTGGTTCTCGGCACACTGCACTTTACCAGCTCAATCCCCTCATTCGAACACCGCTATCGACGATCTACCCTCGCATTGCGACACCCTACGAGCACCCTCGCTATCCGTGACTCCGATTGATCTAAATTCTCACTGTCTTACTGATCTACTGTGTTCTCCAAACCAACTCTAGATTCAAGCCTCGACTAACTCCCAATTAACTTTCCCGTCTTCTAAAGCCAAGGGTTTCTAACCCTGCCAAAAGACGAGTGCTCTCTCCATTGGCAGTTCGTCGGACCAAAGGTGCGCAGGCGGATGGCCCATTGAAGAGGCGACCGCGACTGTCACTCTTGCTTTATAACTCCGCAGACCGAAATCACCTCAAGCCAATGCACTTGGCCCGGGCTTGATCTCCATTGTCGATGTCCATTGTCAGCCAAATCCTAAATGCAGCAGAACGCCTCGTGTCCAGTAACCCGAGATAACCAAGAACACTGACAAATATACACAATTGAATACCGAGCGATAAATTATTCAGCACTTGGAACCTGGCTGCTAGAGGACCCTAACACTCTTTTAGACACTGTGCTTTGTTCCAGACAGGAACACTTCAATTATCGAACGCTAATTAATAAATGTCATTCACTCACCATTCCCATTCACTCCCTATTCTGACAAAAGATATGTGTCCTCAGATATTTGCGCAATCATTCTCTATATCAATGCACTCATACATTACACATATTCATTCACACTCTATAAGTACAGAAACTAATCTATCATATTGTCCACAGCACTTCTCTAGTCCAAGAAACATTGTCCAAGTTGACTGCTAAAAAGATGTCTGGTAACATCTCCGATAACCAAGGGATTAAGTTGAGACCAAAACCATGTCATGCACCTTGCTGTAGCCGTTCCGACATCTTCTCCCGGTGCTAATGGATGTTTCGAATTCTTGTCTCCATCCTCGTCCTCGTCCTCCATCTTCTTTCTCAACCAACCTCGCGTTCCTCGAGTGCTCGATATCCTCCTGTGGTCGGTTTATTCTGGCCACCAAGACTGGACCTTCGACGCCATTTTTGTAACAGACTCTTGACCAAACTCTGTACTGCCTTACGCCGTTTTTGCAATTTTTAAATGCATATTTCGTCCGTTTTGTGCATCGTGGCTGTTTCCACAAGTTGCACGAGATTCACCAGTTGTTCGAGGAATTAAAAGATGTTCGTGACCGAGCATCCCGCTTTCCTCTATCAGTGCACAGCGTTCTTCAGCAATGTCTGCTGCAGTATTACTCGTGCTTTCTTCTCAAAACACTTGTCGCGAGACTAAACGCAATTCTTGAGATAATTGACACATGGAAAATTAGCTATTCTTGATGGACGGAGATTATCCGCTTCGTAGACCCAATCTGTTTCACCCGCTTTGCAAATAACAACACGAAACAGTTTCAGGGTATAACAGCTTGATCCTTCATCGTCTTCCTCTGTTTTCGTTTCCGTTCATGATCTCCGGATCATGATCTCTCAGGAAGTCCGTGCCTAGTAGAATTTCGTGCTGTATAACCTGATCTGATACCACGTGGAGCGTTATCGGAAACGTGTCTATCCTCATATTCGTTCACAATTCCCCTAAGGTCTTGTTGGTACCACCACTGACACCTTGAAACGCTAATTTTCGATTTTCTAACCACGGTGTGCCTATTCGAATTTTGGCGTATTAGACTCATTTTGCTCCTAATATCAACGAGTGTCGTTATCTATTGTCCTCTATAGAGGCCTCGTACAGGCACGGGTTTTCCTTCGCTCGGGGAACGTGGTAGCTCTTCCTTATAGGGTCCTTTTTCGGCCAGGTTGTAGAGATGTGCACGTGTTCTTCGCACCTGAAGCATATGACGTCTTTCGTTTTCGTAGGACACTTGGAAGTCCGGTGATTCTCCGATCCATAGCTAGGGTATTTCCCGAACGCGTTGCCATTCGAAGGTGTCATCTTTCCCCTTGTGAGGCACTGCTTGTTGCTCGTCCTGATCTTCTATCTTCTTTTCTACGACGTCGTTCCTGTTCTGCCATGACACCTTCTCAAACACGTCCAAGAGATCCGTTTTCGTTTGGAATTTGTGCATATAGGCCTGATCCTGGAGAGACTAGTCAGGGATTCCCAAAATGATATACCCTATTAGATTTACATCCTTCTCCACTGACACGCTGTTGGCCAGGATTACTTTTTCGTGGAAATAACCGCAGAATGTCTTGCCCTTCCTCCATGTTTTTCTCTTTGAACTGCGACTTTCGCACAACTTAGCTCGGTTGACGATGGAACATACTGCATAGCTTCTTCAAGAACTCGTCGATCGCCATATCGATGAGTCTGGACTTCGATTGGTACCACTCCTGGACCCTTTCTTGAAGACGAGACACCTTGCCAGCACCTTGTACGATTCTGAGGACAATTTGTACCTGTTCGGAGTATGCGCACCTGCATCTCCCAGCGGTCGTATCCATTGCCCGTCCCGTCAAAATAGTCCACCATGTCGGTAACTATGATCCAACTCTCTGCTGTTTGACATGAGTAACCCCCGTAATTAAGTCGGCGCTTTGCGCTGGAGCTGTGCGGCTTCTAGTTTCCTCCTGAGAATATTCATTTTCCTCTGAAGATCCACAAGGTCCTTGGAACTTAGACTGCTTCTTTCCGGATTCTTTTCTGTCTCAACCATGTTTTGGAATTACGTATCACTCATCACGTCCGTCAACCGGGTCAAGAGCTCGATTTTTATTTATTTTGTGCGTAGATCGCACAATCCAAGTCTTTCTTTCAGTTCGACCACTGATAACTTGTGCAGATCTTCTATGCTCAATGGCACCACAGTTAGTCAGTTCAGTTCATTTATTCCTATCTGATACTACCCTGTCACTTAAATACATCTTCTATTTGCTAGAACCGCAAAGACGAGTGATTAAGTGTGATTAATAATAACGTTGAATTCGCAATTTTTAATGAATGTTTTGAAAACGGTGATTTAGACCATGAGAGGTTAGTGTTAATACCAGAATAACACTGTGATGTCGCTGACGGTCAGTGCCGTTTACAGTTCGCAAGTACAGATACTTAACATTAGGTGGTAAAACAGAGAAAAGTTTTAATTAATTTTCAGTTTTACTTTAATGCATTAAGTATCACTTACTGTCATTGGAACATTGAAAAAGACTTAATCTTTGTATAAAGCATTGTCAATAATACTCAGCAACGGAAGGAAACATTCCAAATCAATGTCATTCGAAACTGATTGATGCTCGAGCTGTTTATCTCTAACAATATCTTACATTCTTGTTTCAAAAGCCGAAACATTTCATTTTTGAGCTTTTTATTTTTCTTTTATTGCGCTTTTATTTTTTATTTTTGAGTCAGACTAATTTTACGAGCTCATATGCTGCTAAATCGAACTATATACATATGCAAAGACTATGGTTTTTGTTAGGATAAATAAAATTGCAATTGGAATATAAATATAATTTGGAAATATTTGAAAATATTTTCTAGAACTTAATATAGAATTTTTAAAACAATGAAAGTATAGAATTCAAAAAATCTATATGTTTGATGGGAGTATATATTATTTATTGCTTACATAATTATTAAATAATTGTTAGAAAGAATTGGAATATGTACATATCTCGATTTCTTTTGTAAAATTAGTTTTCATTTAAATTTATTTTTTATTCTTTTTATATTTATTTTGTTAATTGCAATATCGGCACTAAATTACATTTAACGATAATAACGATACGTGTTTTGAGAAAAATCGAGATAAAATCAAAATTTTATCGAAAGGCTACTACTTATAATTAACATCTCAGGTTATATAATTATAATTTTACTGTTTAGAGTCATTGAGGTTCAAACAAAAATTCACGTATTGTCCTATGTCTTTATATGGCTACAATCATTTAAATATTTTCATAGTCTACAATATCAATTAATTTTATACCCACTTCTTTAATCGCAATCTTCGCTAAATTCTTTCAAAATATCTTCCTGTATTTTGGACACACAATTTTTTAAAAACTGTTTAAACTTCTCTATTTCAATATACACATCATATTAAAGAGTTCTACTTATAAATAATCCCCAAAACATACTTAACTCAATACACTTAACAAACTAAAAGCCTTCACTGAAACTATTCCACAATAAGTACGGCTCCATACATTGCATACTTCTCTATTCTATCTCAATCACCATAGTAAAAAAGACATACCAACTTCAAAACGTAACAAACCAGCATTCATGTTTAATTCAATTCCGTTTCCGAACGCACCGTGCAGGAAACCAGAACCACAAATATCCCCACATATTAACGCTTACCTTACCGCCACGAGGACAAATGCACTGATGGGGGATCTGTCGCCCTTGTGATATCATAATATATAAACAATACAAAAAAAGTGCAACAAACTCAAAAGATAAATAAACAACCTCTTATCTCTAGACTTGCTAAAGAATTACCATTTAAATCCTTATTTGGCAGAGTGGTTTTGCAAAATATGTCACCTGCTAAAATGAATGCATTTGTACCTGCAATTTCAAGAAAATCAAGTTTGAATAAAAGTAACAATACAATATTTGATATAAAAAATGATGTACCAATAATTGATTCAAAATGTGATATAAGAGACAGTTCTATAGAATCTATATCATTAAATTTATCACTTGACAACAAAGAATCATTTCATTCTTTAAATAGCAGCAATAGCAATAATAGTAAAGATCTAACCAGTAACATTAAAATATGTAATGATAGCCTCACAGAAGCAGTTTCTTCAAACAATAATGTATCTATACCAATGGAATCAGGTATTCCACATGAACCAGTTTTCTTTTCACCTTATGTTGTTATTAGTCGAGGAAAAAGCAATGCTAGAAAAGAACAACAGTTAAAACGTGGGTTTATTCTTAGTTGTTCATCAAATGATGATATTCCAACAAAAGATACTGTCATGAAAAAATTAAATATATCAATATAAGAGACAGTTCTATAGAATCTATATCATTAAATTTATCACTTGACAACAAAGAATCATTTCATTCTTTAAATAGCAGCAATAGCAATAATAGTAAAGATCTAACCAGTAACATTAAAATATGTAATGATAGCCTCACAGAAGCAGTTTCTTCAAACAATAATGTATCTATACCAATGGAATCAGGTATTCCACATGAACCAGTTTTCTTTTCACCTTATGTTGTTATTAGTCGAGGAAAAAGCAATGCTAGAAAAGAACAACAGTTAAAACGTGGGTTTATTCTTAGTTGTTCATCAAATGATGATATTCCAACAAAAGATACTGTCATGAAAAAATTAAATATATCAATTGAAGAAGAGGAACGTACAGCACAATATTTCCAATTTCTTTTGAACAGAGAGATAGATAGATTAAATGACTTATGTGAAAAATGGATGCAGATTAAAGTAGAACCCAAAACTACCAAAAATAGATTATATGAAATAAATCAAGCCATTAGTCAAACAAAATTGTTAATAAGCAAAAAATTTGAAAGATTTCGTGGATTAGTTTCTGATTGTGAAACAGGAAAGGGAGAAATGTTGGTTACGTGTAAAGATTTGCAAGGATTTTGGGATATGATGTATATGGAAGTGGAAAATTGTAATTTGCAGTTTGAGAAATTGGAGAAACTTCGTTTACAAGGCTGGAAAGAAGAAGAATTGTTGGTTGATAGACCAATTACTAAAAAACGAACTATTACTAAAAAGAAAAAAAATGTGACAGAAAAAATGAAAAATAATAATGATACAAATAGACCTGAATCTAATAAAAATCAAATTGTAGGCAGTAAATATCAGAAGAATGAAAACCTTAGTAGTAAAAAATACACAAGGAGATCTATGCCTGTTGAATCTAGTGAAAAGAAACGTGTCCGTGCAAAAAGTAAAAGATTAAGTTTACTGGAACAGATACAATTATCTGAAACATCAAAGAAAGCAAGAAGTCCATTAACAATAATAAAAATAAGTCAAATGTGTAAAACACCAGTGGTTCAGTTAGACGATTCAATATCTTATGTTAATTCTAATCAAACACCAGGAAAAAGTATACTGAAACAACTAAAGAATTCAATTACTATCGAAAATCATGTGAAGCCAGTAAATCAAGTTAATTTTGATGATGATGTAATTTTAAATGAAGTACCAATAGATGAAGAAACTCAGACCAAAATGGATTTAGCTGCAGCATTGTCAAGAATAGATAATTTTAATTTTAATGATTCAGATGATGTAACAGTTAGAGCAGAAAAGAAACTTGTTTTTGACAATAATTCCAATGAAAATGCAGACGATTCCAAACAAAATCTAAAATTAGAAAATTCTACAAATAATGATACTACAATAGCATATATGAAAACACAAGCAACAACACTACTGGAAGAATTGAATAAAAATCTTAAAGCATTGCAAAGAAGAAACATTAAAAGACAAAATACTGTAGGTGAAGATAGTATGACAGTGAACCAAACCCGATTCTTAAATATAAATACTTCTACACCCTTTAAAAAAGTCAAAGGTGATACAGATTTAAATATTTCAAAACAAGAACATTTTTCTGCAAATAACAAAGAAGATACCAGCAAACAATATGAGAGTATAAGGATTCTGAGAAACAGAATTATTATTCCAACAGAAACATCTATAGCTAAACGAAGGTCTTTGAAGAATCTGTCTGTTAGTATATAAGAAGTAGAACAAGTAAATAAAACTCTTCTTGAGGGGACCAATAGAAAAACTTTGTAAATATATATAAAAATATTATTTCGTAAATTGAATATTTCGTAAAATTAAAAATGCATAGCGTAAAAAATAAAAAAAAAAATTATTGAGGAAAGAAGAATTAATCTATTATTCCTATACATAATAACATTATGAGAATTTAAATTTACTTCTAATTTATGTTTCAAATATGCATTGTTTAATAATTAATAATTAAAAATTAAGAATGAAATGAATAAATTTAATAACTGTAATAATATTATTTTTGTAACATAATATTACATTCCAAAAGTTTGTTCGTACTATCGTACAGAAACATTTGTCAAACCATGAAGAAAATATACAACTCTAACCATAGGCAAAGTACAACATAGATTTAATAAATGAATTTAATAACTCCAATTCCATTATTTTTGTAACATACGATTATATTGAAGTATCTTTATTACTGTCTTGAAATAGTATCACATTGATTAAAATAAAATATGATTTTTAAAAGTGTACATTTTATTTGATGTAATAAATATACCCATGTCATAGGTGGCCCAAGGAAAGCCATAAGATGTTAAATCTATGTTATCTCTATACCACAGTATTACCATATGTTTTTCAATGAACACGTGGTAAACGGTTAGAAGAAAGTTTACATTCAAATGGTACCTGAAATTTAATTAATAATGTCAAACTTTCGACAAGAATATAAGAAAAAAGCAACTGGCTTTGGAAATATAGTTCAAAATCGATTTATTCGAGCAAAAAGATATGAGGAATTGCGAAAACAACAGCGAAGTGAGAAATTTAATACAAATAGAAACATATCAACTGATTTAGCAGAAACACAAAACAAA